GGGGTCTCGGTATGATTTCGTTGGCGCAACCCGGCATTTCTGGCAAGGAGTGCGGCGAAACAAGCGTCATTCCACCATGACGGCTGCCGTTGCTTACGCAGACATGGACGCCGATACTGGGGTCAGCAGGCCACACAACATTCAAAACGTCATGATAAAGACTATCCAAAGCAGACCATTTTTGCGAGATTGATTGGGCGGCTGGGTTGAAGACATGGGCTTGCGTACGCCTGAACCGTTGTTTCACACATTGTCCCGGAGAATGGGTGAGGTTTTCCCAGCTGCAGGTTCGCAGCATGACGCGTAAGCTGGCCAAACAACTACGATCTGCCGGTCGCTGTTTGCGCGCATGGACCAAGCCCGGGACCCACAAATTACTATCCCCGGCCATCACTGGATCAACCCTTGGCAGGGCTTTCATGACTTCACCCACGGAATCAGACAAGCACTGCCAGAAGGCAAGGCACTTAGCTTCAGGGCACCCTGCGTGTGGCGGGTAAAATGACGGAAAAGGTGTGGCAAAACTGCCTTCATCGAGGGCAACCAGACGCCACCAAATGTCTGTATGTGGAGTCAAATTTTGAATAGACGTGCAATGCTGGGAAAAATTGTCCTGAACGAGAATGGCAGCATCCCACCCTTGAGTATTTTCAGTCCCTTCCAACTGGTATGGCTGATCCTCTGGCAATGTCGGTGCATGTGGGGTGTTGATCTCTTGTACACGTAGTAAGGAGCATTCGCGCGTACACAAAAACCGCGCCATGGAAAGAATCACTCAACCGACCAAACTGTGACCACAACCTATTGCAAGTAAGGGATATGAGGCGGAACACGTGTGGCGCATCAGAGCCGCCCCTCCGCCGCCGTTTCCCGAGCGAATGGCGTCAGCGTTGCAATGGGCTACGCCAATGCACATCAGTGCGTGGCGGGTGATGTCACTGGGCAGTGCACGGTCCGAGAGTACGCTTATTGCTTTACAAATAGTCAATCATGCTGATCACGAAATACCTACCGTGCAGAGCGCAGCTTAGCGCCATGGGTAACCTTTCTGGCGTCCATCCCCCAACCATACTCTCGTTCGTGTTTCGAGGGCA